GGGGACTGCCATTAGATTAGCACAACAGAGGGCTTGAGTTATTTCTTCTAGAAAGAAGAGAGACTTGACCGGATCCCTATGGGATGGGGCCAATAGTGCAGCAGCAGTTTGGAATATTTTTAAGAACCAAGAACATGATGAGAAATTGGGGCAACTAGAGAACGCCATTGGCCTTGTTTCTGGAGCACAACTAACCCAGGTGCAGGCTGGAGTTGGTGAGTTACATGTTATTTCCGCCCTTAGTTCTATGACCCAGAAGTTGCTGACAGAGATGGTATTGAATATTACTGAGGCTGGGAAGGCATTGCAGTGGGATCTAGCATGTTCAGAAATTCGGGATTTCCTGAATGACCAGCTAATGGCCATTCAGAATGATCTACAGCATCAGGCTTGGCCCACTGCCCTTACAGACACATCAGGAGTACCATCTGATCTGTGGCCATGGAGACATACTTGGAGACTTTCTGGGTGGAAGTGCAGATGTTCTCGGGGTTCCTTCCAAGCATATGGACCGGTTGGGAGGGGGTGGGCTCCCACATACCGAAACCTGCCGGGTCCATGGGGAGGATGCATGTGGGTAATTCACCGAGACATCTGGAAAATTAGACTACCTGGCATGCCCAATCGATTTTTAGTCAGTGCTCCTGGGATTACACCTGACATTTGGATAGGGTTAGGGAGTCAATGGACATTTTGGCCGTTAGAACCCCCACAGCTTCAGTGTATCCATAAACTGAAGCCAGGAGCCGTTGTTACTTTTCATGACTACGTTTGCTGGGAAGGTAGGGGACAAGGAACTACCCTGACAAGACACTTACTTTTTCAAGCTAATGATAGCTGTGTGTATGTTAAAGCCACCACATTGCAAGACATACATTTTAATCTCATTACCACTGCAGGCAATCATATTATTTACTGGCCTGCAGATAGAATTTTGCAAGTAGCCCTTAGGTTCCAGATACCCTTTAATTGGACTAGTTTAGTACCTGATCGATTTCAAAATTTGCTTTCACTGTTACCAGAGGTTCAGAAAATCTCTGAAATACAAGGGCAAATTCACATGCTTCAATATATATATCAAGTTGAAAAGTAAGCCTTTCATACAGCTTATAGAGTGTCCACCTTATGTACTAAGTATGATGTATTGTGTTTTATGACTAAGACTGTACAACAACCCCATCATATTATCGCTATGGGAATGTTATTGGTTGTGTTGTTGTTAGGAGTATGTTATTGTTGTTGTAAAGGACGTAATAATAGTAATACCTTTCATGTCCATGCTCATCATGCATTGTCATTACACCCAATCAAAACCCCTAAGGTTAAAGCATCTGATGTAAAATCTGAATTCCAAAACTTAATGCAAATAGAGATTTAAGAATGTTTGTTGTACTAGTAGTACAAAAGGGGGGGTTGTGGAAGCAGAGAAAGAACTGACAGGAAGGGGATTGCAATGCATGACAGTTTGTTAGCAAGAGTCAGGCTAACTGTAACCCTAATAACACAAGATTTGTAGAAGCGAGGAATGTGTGAGGCGAGTGGGAAAGAACTGTGTGAGAAGTTGTTGCGACCTTGTGTAGATAATGTGTAGATAATATGGAATGTAGACTAAGA